TCCATTTTCTCATATTAATCTCATTCCCTTCTATCCTTTCCCCTAGCCCTCCCACTTCCTTCCCCTTTGCCCCTTTTCTTCCTATTTCACATTAAGATGGATCCACTGTTACCTCTGAGACTAATGCTGAATTTATTCCCTGTCAGGGTAAAGGAAATCTGATTTGATATCTATTAAAGATAATAGAGATAGTTTCGTGGCAGGATTTCTTCAGTGATTAGAAAGTCAGATGGACTAAGGTTTAACGTTTGAACTGCAGGACTAGATTGCCGTCTCCTAAATGTGGTGGATTTGGGAACTGCTTCCCTTAGCTGGTAGCACTTCACCAGAGAACATGCTGCTGAACGAAGGAACAGTGAATGCATGCAGGATATAACAAGCGACGGTTCATACTGCTGTGTCTGGTGGAAGCCACTTAGCGCTAACCCTCCTCTCCCGTGGCCCTGAAATTCTTCCTATCATTGTCAGCTGCCCCTCACAGCCTGCTGGGAAAGCGGTGGGGTTGGCCTGAAACGCCCACCGGGTGGAGACGACTGGTTTTTAAGCTGGGCCTTTTAGACCTCGCTGCTCCCCTGCTCCCATCCGCGCCCACAGCACTGCCTGTGGCCAACGTCTTGTAACCTTTTGAATCTATTTCCTCAGCCCTAAAAGGAGAGGCAATAAAATATCTACCTCGGAGGTTTGTAAAAGTAAAGGAAGAAGTGCGGGAAGTGTCCTAACAGTCACATCCGTTACTGCCCTGTGAATGTTCAGAGTCATTGTCCAAATCCGAGCAACTGCTGTGTGAGTGTTCAAAGCCGCGGGCGACGTGGAGGGCAGCAGTGAGCCTCAGTCTCCCCGAAGAGGCTGCAGGACACAGGACGGCTGGGAGCCAGGGGGCCACAGAGGAGCAGTGGGTGGAGGCCAAGGACAGCTGTGGGAGCCAGGCCAGTCCCCACTCCCTGGGCTTCAAGCTGCTGGCACTCTGAGCCCTTCATCTGCCATTTCCTGCTTCCACAGGTGCTGTAGAAGACAAGGCCAGTCGGGAGTCCTCAAGCCTATGTAAAATAGTAGGCAGCTCCTGGTGCAACCCCACACCCCAAAGTAGCATGCTCCCCGAGGGAGGGAGACAGCTGGAGGCCAAGCAGACACATACCAGGCTTCCTTCCATCTCTGTCAGACCCAGCGGCCAGGGAGTGCATCCATTCAGATCTGTGTCCCTAGACGAGTGTCTGCCACATAGTGGAGGGTGCTTAGAAACAAAAACAAGACATTTGCGCAGACTGGAACCTGCATTTTAGAAAACTGTTGTTGATCCCACAAACCAATCCAAGGTTGTAATGATTTAAAGTAAGCATTTGTAGTTCTTCATCATCTTCCATGTGGTTTTCTTTCTGAGATTTCCAGGCACACCAGAAAGGTGATTCCTAACATGACACTGCAGAAATATTGGGCTGAGGCTGACGGATTTCAAGAACAAGAGCTGGAAAGAGTGACTATTCACAAGAGTCCTGGTCTGACCACTGGGGCATGAACTCAATCCCTTCCTCACTCCGAATGGTAAAATAAAAGTTTTTTGTTAGCTGAGCATGGTGGTACGTGCTTGTGATCCCATCACTCGGGGAGGCTGAGGCAGATCACAAACTCAAGCCCAGCCTTGGTGATTTAGTGGCTTACCAGGACTGTCTCAAAATAAAGTGATTAATAATAATAATCATTTGAAAAGGGAGGTTGAGATATAGCTCAGTATGAAGGGCCTGAGTTCAGTCCCTAGAACCATCCATAAAAAAAGATGTCGCTATTCAATTTTGGGGATGGAGATGAAGGAGATTATAAAGAGGAAATAGATAAAATGAAAATGAAAAGCATAAAATCATAGAGGAAGACAATGCAGAAAAATAAGGCTTAGCCATATTAAAGTATAGGATTCAGGGCAACATCTGATGAGTGATGAGAAAAAGCAAATGTGACCAAGGGAAGACTGTGTCAGAAACCAGTCTCCTTTGTTTCTCTAGCTGGTGTTTAAAAGTCGAATTTGAAACATCTAAACGCTCCCTTGTCCTCCCTCCTTGGCTCCAGTGGGTGACAGGCAGCTGAGAAATGTGGCATTTCTTCTTCACGTGGAGGTCAGCCGCTTGATCTCTGTTTTAGAGACATGTCCTAGGGTTAAAGTCTATATTTGACAGTTGTCTGGCTCAGTGGCTGCTTCTACTAGAGGAATGTGCATAACCCCACCACACTTCACAGAAACTGCAGTAGAGTCTATCTGGGTAACACTGACTTTAAGCAAAGCTCCAACATTAACTTGTCATTGTGTTTGTTACAATGTATTCCTTTAGTCTACAGAGAACAAATGTAAATTGCTACTTTATGGGTCTTCAGCTTTTACCTCCTGTCTTTGTTATAGCTGACCTTGTAATTTAAACTGTTCATGCTCCAATGCATGTTAGAACAGTTACAGGGCATGGAAGAATGTTTCTGAGGCAGAAGTGAATGTGTGCTATAGGGTAGTGACTGTTATGAAGGGCCTTCTATGTCCTCAGTGCCTTACTAGATGCTAGAGACAGGCTTCCCATGTGTTCAGTGCCTTAGCAAATATTAGAGACATTAAAGGTTCACATACTGAGTCCTTGTCCCCAAAGACCTCACAGCTTAGTTGGAGAGACAGAGTTTTATATATATATATATATATATATATATATATATATGTCACATAAGTACTAAAGAATTTCAAAGAGAAGAGATGGCAGCAGCTGACATGACTGGGCTGTTCTCAGACAGGAAGTGAAATCTGGTCTAGATGCAGAAGAATAGATTTTGTTTGAGTAAATGGGAACATGGTGCTCTGGTGTAGCTCTGGGTTGCCCCCCAAAGCCCCATGTGTTCAGAGGTAGGCGCTTGAGAGGTGATTAGGTCACAGGTGAGCTACACTCACCAATGGATCATCCTCTGAGAAGCTCACAGTCAAATGTTGTGTTGGGAGGTGGGGCCTGGTTGGAAGAGGCGGCTCACAGGGGTGTGACTAAGAGTGCATCCCCCTCCCGGCTCCTCCCTTTCTCTGCTTCCTGGACGCCATGGGGTGAGCCCCTTTTCCTTTGTGGTGGCTCCCTGCCATCATGAGCCTGTGTGGAGCCAGCCAACCGTGGACTGAACCGTGAGCCGGTGTCAGGTGTTTTGTCCCAGCCATGATGGAAAGTGACTAGGATGCACGGGCAAGGCTTTATGGTCAGGGGAAAGTGTGCCCCTGGGGCAGTAGCTGACACAGTCTCCTCACACGAACATCTTAAATCCTTTGAGAAGTGAGGAAGGGAAGAAACATGAATGTAAGTTAAAGGAATCAGTGAACAGATTGAAGAGTGAATAAATGGCTGCACTGAGGAGTGGAACTTGAAATGCCAGAGTGCCTGACCCGTGGCCTGCTCAAACTGGGACCAAAGCCACTTTCTCCCTGAAGGGTGTTACACTCCACTTACCCTGGGGGTGGCCTTGGGACACTGGGAGCTGAGAATCCATGTCTAGACCCTTATTTGGGCTGGAACTGGCATCCAGTGTGGCTTGCCGGAAGCCTGAGCCTCCCTCTCCCCTGGCCCCGGAGCCAGCAGAGAAGCTGGGGCTGATTCACTCACACGTCCTGGACTCAGTGCCCAGGAAGGACCTGGATGTGCCGCACAGTTTACCCTCCTACCCCTTAGCTTTCCTGCTCCCCAGCCTTTCCTTGTGCTCCCGAGGTCCCCAGCTCTCCCTGAGGTGCTCAGCTCTCCTCCGTGGCCTGCACCTCTTCCCCTGCAGGTCACCAGCGCCTCTCTCTGCCACCCCTGCATGGTGGCTCCCTCTCCTCGACCCCCGGACTGGCCAGAAACACAGAGCCTGGCCTCACCCGGAGGGCGCAGGAGGAGGAAGGACTCCAGGGGCAGGGCCAGGAGCCACCAGAGACACTTGGGAAATACTTCAGAGGCCTCCTTAGGCCAAATCCCATTTTCCCGGAGTTAGCCATAAGCAGGACACCTTTGAGGAGCCAGCCAAGGAAGAGCCCCAGAGAATTTTTAAGTATCATAGAAACACAAGAAGCCCAAGCGTAGGCAGCCCTGTATTTATACGCCATTGATTCAACACAGAAATGATTTGTTTTTGCACCCAAAGGTAAGAGGGCAGATAAAAGATCAGGGAAAACAGGAAAAGGGAAAGCCTCACACCGACAAATAGGCAACCTCCCGCAAGCCAGGCCTGGCTCCGTACTGCATTGCACACAGGTCAGCTTGTACAAGCCTCCCTACCTTCATTATCCCGGAGGGTAAGAGAGCACAGAGCAGAGGCCGAGCGACTTGCTCAGGAGTCCCAGACGCCCGTGCCTAATCCTGGACCCTACCCGCTCTGCTTAGGCGCGACACCCACGGCAGACACTGAACTGCGGTCTCTCGAGAGCCCACTTGCTTGCCGGAGAATAAAGGCCGCCAGAGCCCACGCAGCAATCGGCTTGCACAGGCCTTCCGGAGCAACTGCAGGTGGCGCTGCGTGGGTTAACTTGTGCTCTCCTTGATTCCTACACTGTATTGAGAAGGAAGCCCTTTGTGCACTTTGGTACTCGACTGTCAGTCATGGTCCAGGAAACGGTGTGCAAAGCTGGCTGGAGACATGAGCGGGGCCTGTCAGTCTCAAGGTCCCAGGGTGCCGCCAGAGGTGGACGCGTGAAAGAGGAGCGCCAGCGCGGAGAGCTGCGGCCGCACGTGCACCTTCACCGTGGGTTCAGCCCTGTTTCTCCTCCTTCGCCCAGGTTCGCGCTGCAGAGCCGGTTTCTTCCATACCCACTTAACCCTCACTTTTCAAATAAGCTTTTGGCACCGATTTGTGCTTGTCTTGTCCAATTCTTTGTTCGAGGCAAGAAGGACCTGGAATACTTTGGGTTGGAGAGCCCTTTCTTATTCCCATTAAGTTCATTGGTACATGTTAGGTATATAATACAGTTACATTCATCATTGGGATCTTGCACCTTTACATGAGTATCTTGGTTCTTATTTTTTCCCCATTCCCCTGCCCTCCCTTCAACCCCTCC